TAATACAAAATAAATATTTTATTTTTAATTTTTATATTTTTTTTAATCTATTATATGAACATAATAAGTTTAAATTTAAATATTATATATTATAATATAAAAATATGATATTATTATATTATTATATTCATAATGTATATGAAAATACAAGTCAGCGGATGTATCCTTAAAAATTAAACATAATTACACATGTGTGTGTGTATGTGTGTGTATGTCTATATATAAAATGTATGTGCATATATATAAAATTTGTTGTGATTTCATAAATAATAGATAGATGAAAAATTGTTTTTCTTTCTCGACCATTTTCTTATGATTCTTCTTGCAATAATAAAATAGTTGCACATTGTAATTATGATTGCTGCAATATACAACTAAGTCTGTATTTTTCTACATCAATTTCATTGAGTCTTTCTATCCTTCTTCCCCCTCCCCCTTCTCTCTCTCTCTCTCTCTATCTCTCTCTCTCTCTCTCTCTCTCTTTCCTTCTTTATTCTTCTACCTCCAATTTTTCAACTTCTCAAGAATATTTGTGAATTATGTAAACAGCAACATTTTTTTCTTTATTTTTATGTCTATGACTTCTTCTTTTTAGGAAAAATAGAAATTCAATATATTATATGAGTTTGATAGATATAAACTTATCAAGGTTATTAGGATTGGTTGATTGTGCAAGTTTACTAATCGGAAATTCAAAGTATTAAATAGAAGATCGATGTATCTTATATTCTTCTTAAATAGCATTAATTATCATTCTTTTTTTTATTTTTTTTTTATTTCTTTTTTTTTTATTTTTTTTTTATTTCTTTTTTTTTTATTTTTTTTTTTTTATTTCTTTTTTTTTCACGTAAATGATTTCTTTTATACGTGGCGCCTTTATACACGATTTAAAACATGATTGCACACATGTAGATAGGTTTGCATATCATTGAGCGTTTTATAAATAACACCAGAAAGTTTTCTCATATATATATATATTTTTTTTGTTTCTTTTTTTATAGTCCCATTAAGATCTTCCTAGTATTAAAGAATAAAACTTCGTAATAAAATTTTAAAGTGATATTTATTTATTTAAGATTATAAAACATATTCATGTGACGTCAGCCTGCGGAATGATCACCCGTTCTACGAGTACGTCCCATCATGCTTAATTCTCTATTTTATTTTTATACATACATATATAATTTGTTACTTTTACTTAATAAAAAAAAAACAAAAAAATAATAATAATAATTTATTAATTTATAATGGTAGCAATGTGTCGATGGGATACTTGGAAAAAATATTATTCATTATAGTTTTAAATTTATCAGCAATGGTTTCCTCCAAAATGGGTTTGAATTTGTTGACGATTAATTTCCAATTATCATTTAAAAATAGATTCATTACGTCCGTGAGAATTTTGTCGTCGTCGAACAAATCATTTAAATGTAGTTTAACGTTATTTATATTATAATCGACGTAAATATCGTTAACACGAAAGTGTTCCTGATTCGTTTTAGGTTCATGATAACGTTCTAATTGAACCTTTAAGAAAAAATCGGTGTCGGTTAAATTGACAGAAGATAATCCATTTCCTGTGAGCGGTAACTTCATAATATTTCCATTCAAATTGTATTTTGAAACCGTTTCCAAATTTGGATTATATATTTTCAGTTTTAATTCATTTTTATTCACGTCGAACCTGAACGAATTATTTATTAATTAATAAAATTTCTTTTTCATTTTTTCTTTTTTTTTTTTTTTTCATAATTACAAGCAACTTACTTGATATTCTTTAGAACGAAATTAATTCCATTGTAAATTTTTATGTCCGTGAAAGATGAGGTTATAGAACTTAAACCAGTTGTTTGATTGAAATCTAATCGATCAATGTATAACGGTTCGCAAGGGGGAATATGAAAATCTGGAATTCCTTCTTTTAAATATGGTTTTATCTGTTCTATATTGGTTTTAATACATCTGCTCCAATTTGGATCACTCCGGTGACATATTTTGATGAACGGTGCTATAAAATCAATTGATAATCAAAACTTAAATAGATATAACAATTTAACGAGACTTTGTTCTTGATAATAATGGCAGGTTAGTTGTTCCACATACGTTTATGGTGCACACACTTTTACGTGACACCAAAATAGGATCTGAGTCACACTCTATAATAAACGATCTAAAGAGTGATCTAATACTTAAGATATTTCATTTAAATTTCTTAGTACTCGCGTTTATCTATTCTATCTGTATATTTATTAGAAAAAAAAAAAAAAAATAAAAAATAAAAAAAAATATATATATATATATATGTATGTATATACTCACGTAATTTCGGTATATATACTTCAGAAACACAATATGCAATGTTTAACAGGAACGTCAAAAATATCAAATTCTTCTCCATAGTAATTGCTACGAGAGTTCTGAACTAAATGATTCTCTTTGTTACTTCGAAATCGAACTCGTAAAATGCTGACGAGAATTTGTTGACCTAAAATCGTTCGTCGAGTAATGAAAATTTTCTGTAATGTATTTGCATTTCGTCAGTTTTTATTCGTATGAACTCAATTGAGAGGCACGTTTGAAACAAAGAAAAAAAAAAAAGAAAAAAAAAAGTAATAAAATTTTGAAAAGAAGTAAGAAAGAAAGAACCAGATACTTTTATTCATCTAGTAAATTCATCTTCTAATGAATTAACTAAACCTGATTAGAAAACTCGATCGGTAACCTTGCTCTCTATAATCGATATTAACTGCATAACTTTCTTCTATAAATTATTATTATTATTTTTTTTTTTCTTTAATTTCCATGTTTCATTTGCAATTAATGAACAATCAGCAAGTGATATTTATTTGTTAGAAATGATAGAGACACGTTTAAAAAATTATTGATTTGTTTTTTTTTTTTTTTTACCAAAGTTGTTTGTTATTTATTTTTTTTCTTCTCATTTTTTCTTTTTTTTATTTTTTTAAATTGAAAAAAAAGGGAACCAAAAACACTTTTATTCGTCTAGTAATTGATACTAATAATGAATTGACTAAACGTTACTAGAGAACTCGATCGGTAACCTTGCTCTCTATATCGTAGTCAGTGCATGACTTAAGGAAACAATTTCCAAATGATAAAAAGAGAGAATAGTTATCTGACCAAGATCGACGTGTCAAGAATGACTTGGTCCATGGCCCAGATCGTATGCCCTTCCACGATCACCTATAAAAATACCCCGTAGACGCATCGTACACTTGCATTTAGTATTTTTCCATCCATTCGTACGTATCAGTATTGTACGTAAACACGTACGTTTTGATTAAACTTTATTCGTGTTAAAAAAAAAAAAAAAAAAAAAAAAAATCATCGAAAGTACGATCGATAATCAATCGGGGATTCAGAGATGTTCCTCGAGAGATCATCCATCGATCATTTCGATTGATCCCGTCGAGAGAACGAGGATTCGTTATCCTAAACCTATCGAATTTATTTGTACGATTATTTCGATAATTCTAATAATAATCATAATCGTTATCATTGTGTTTATGCTCGTATATAAGCCCGTTTACGTTTGGATAAATTATGATCGTAAATAATTGAATAAGTTCTCGAACGAAAGAAAAAAAAAAAGAAAAAAAAGCCTATCGATTATATAAAAAGTATTTATAAAAGAAGAAAAAAAACGACAAAAGGATAAAAGATGTGGAAATACTTGAAAATATTACTAGGATTTTATATGTTAGTTATAACAAAGTGTTCATTATTGGAGATGTCTCAAATGATGTGGGCTAAATTTTTAGCAGGTGGTTTATCAAAAGTTGGTCAATTAGATCCATTGAGAGTGCCAATGGTGAAGGTCGATCAATCCGAAGGGAATACAAGTTATCGTATTATATTGAGAAACATCGAGATATTGGGATTAAACGATTCGACGATAGAAAGTATACACGTGGGACGTGGAAAATTGAGATCTAATTTGAGCGAATTAGAAGCTGGATATGTAACTTACAGTGATCTTGGTGATTTAGAATCAATTCGATACAAATTCCATACGGTTGTTAACAATATGAGAAATATAATGAATAGCAAAGACGACGTTGCAACGAGCGAATTTAATTCGTCACGATATAACGATGAACGATTTGAAAGGACAATGCAATATCAGCCTGCAAGACAATCTACTTATGAAAAATCAAATGAAAGTAATTACGGAAGTTACGAGCAACAACGACAAGCTCGTTTCGATGAACGTAATTATCAAGGATCTCAAAGAAAGATGGCCGAATATACGACAACGGATTCTTCTTACGTAAGAAATTTAAAGATCGAAGAAAGAATGGAGAGTCGTCGTACAAATGATAATACAAAAAATCCCTCGAGCGTTCACGTTGTATACGCGCAAAGTTTAAACAACACTAAAGCCAACGAAAAAACTAATAAAAATGATAAAGATGAGATAGATTGTTACGATGGTAAATCTAACTCAAGAGAAAGTTCATACTTGACGGAAAATCACGGAAGTTTTCAAATGTCTGAACAAATTCAAAAAGACGTAAAACCAAAGTCATATTACGAAGAAAATCACGAGGATGTTAATGTTTCGGCATCAGAGAATAAAGAAATTAAATTGGAACGACCGATTGAAGTATCAAGTATATCGTATTATAATGATCAACGTAGGGATTATAAAATGAACGATAATGTCGATGAAAAATTGCAACGATCGACTGAAAGATCAACAGGTATATTGTATTTTAATGATCGACGAGGCGATATGATCGATGAAAATTTGAAACAACAAACCGAAAGAACAACTGCATCTTATTACACTAATCAACGTAAGGATTATCAACGTAATGATAATGTCGATGGAAAAATTGAAATAATGTCTCAACGATCGGAATCGATTAAATCCTCTAATCAGAGATTAGAAAATAAACCGGGTTATATTGATATAATTTATGCCGATGAGAAAAATTCGAATGGAGTTAGACACTTTGGTAACATGAAATTGCAGGCTAGTCGAGAAACGAAAGTTTATGGATTTGAGGATGTCATGAAGGTTCATTTATTATTATTATTGTTGTTATTATTATTATTATTATTATTATTATTATTATTATGATTCTTTTTGTTTTTTTAATTTATCAATTACATATTATTTAGGATATTCAAGAGAATGCAAGAATGTTTATTCATAATTTTACCGAAGGTGAATCATTGACAAAGATGAATGATCGTATTAAAAAAGCATTAGAAGCGAAAAGATTAAAAGATCTAGAAAGATATGCAGAAAATTATCAAGAAAAGGAAGGATATTTTGAGGAGGGTATGGAATTGATTTATCATTATGGCGGAATGGGAAATGAATCGAAGGAAATTAGACGTATAAAACGTGCACATCCGGAAAGTGATTCAGAGGTATCTGATATTATTTATCATTATTATTATTATTATTATTATTATTATTATTATTATTATTATTATTATGATCTAGTTATTATGATCTAGTAGTTTAGATCTAAGTAACAATAGTTGCGTAAAAGATGTATATACAATAAAATGATTTTCACAAGGACGACGTGATGCACGTGATTATGCGAATACGCGTGCCACTTCTTCGCGTGAAATCTGAATACATGCTCACGGGAAAAGTCGGAGAAGAAATATTGAGGGGGAATGGATTACTAGCCGGAAATTTCAGTAAGTTTAAATGATAATAGTTCATTTCACTATTTTTTATTTTTTATTTTTTTTATTTCTTTTATGTATTTATTTATTTATTTATTTATTTTTTTTTTGTAATATAGATTACATCTAAATAAGATTATATGAAAAATTTTATCTTCTTCTTCTTATTATTATTATCATTATTATATTGAAATTGGATGAAATTAAATCATTAATTAAATCATAATTAAAATATTAATTAAAACAATAGAAATGTAAAAGTAAGAATGTATTTTTACAGAAAGACTATATTTTTATATTCCATTTGATATATTAAATTTAAACATAACTTATAGATAATTATTAAAAGTATATTTCATATTGGTATATATTTGATTAGAAATAATAAATAAAATATATTTGATAACTGTAATTATAATAATTTGTGTAACATTAAGTTTGATTTAAAATATCTAAGAGTATGGAGGATCAAAAAAAAAAAAAAAAAAAAAGAATTGAAGTAATTAAAATTTAATTGGATAAAACAGATCAATAAATAAATAAATAATCCATTACGAATTAATTTTAATATTAATAAAAGATTATTTATTTCTCTTATTAAATTTCCTTTTTTTCTTCTTTTTTTTTTTTTAACAGCCGATCTTCTCGGTGATTTCACGGTTGAATTGAAGAAAGATAATAACGATTCGATGACGGTACGTGCTACTAGGGCAAAATTAACATCGAAAGATAAAAGTATCGATCTTCAAGGAATGAACGAGGAAGAAGGTCCTGTAAAATCGATATTAAGTCAAGGTATGTTCGATTAAAGTGAAACGAGAAATTCAAATGAAACGAAAGTACGTTCGTTGAATCGTTTTTGTTAAGATATACGTTAATATATTGATTATCGAATGGAAATCTTATACGATCATCATAGTTCATACAAAGTCTCCGCATAAAACGTCTATTACGCGAGCCTAATTACATAATACCGTATAGTATTATGTATGCATGTAATGCTATATGTCTATAAACAACTACATGGATATATACTTATAAAGCTTTAAAAGAAATTTCTTCCTTGATGAACACGTAATTTACTTCGTCAAAGACTTCTCTTAGAATGCCTATCTCATAATCTCTTTTACTTACTAATGGATTAATTATATTTAAATAATTGAACTACGTGACTTTTAATAACATTAATAGATATCTATTTATAGATATTATTATTATTATTATTATTATCGTTGTTGTTATTGTTGTTGTCGGCGTCGGCGTCATCGTCGTCGAATATATATATATATATATATATATATATATATATATATATATATAATATAATGGAAGATTTGATTTTTATATTAATATTAAAAAAAATCTAATTTAGTACAATATATAGGTATATAATATATAGGTATATAATATGGTATATGGTATATACTAATATTTCGTATTACTAATATATATTATTAATATTATATTAATATAATATAAAATAATTAGTATATTATACTAGTTATATCGTACTACTAACTAATATATTATACTATATTGATATAGTATAGTGGGCTTAGTATAATATAATAATTAAACTATACTAATTAATGTATTAATATAATATTAAATATAGTATATAATAAATCATTATATGTTAATATTTATTATTATAATTATTAATAATTTTTATTACTAATGTTTTATTATATGATCTTGTATTATACATATATATCTATATAAATATATGTATATGTATGTATACATAAAAGAAATAGATAAAAATGAAAGGATCGAACTTTCGCTTTCATGAGAGATTGACTTAATAATACGGCTTCGTAACGAAATAAACTCACTTAATCTTTCATTCATGTTTGACTTTCCTCGACAGGTTTAATGGCTGCCGAAGCAGTTGCAGCTATGCTTGCCGATGACTTGACAACGAAGGCTCTCAGCGAGAAAACAGCTGATGCTATGGTATATCGCATGTATAATGATCTTCCAATGGTTAATTAATTTTATAACAGATCTTTTTATTACTATTATTATTATTATTATTATTATTATTATTATTATTACATTTATATTATTATTAGGTTATTAATTTCGCTATTAATCTATAATTCTTAATTTTACGTACTTAATTTTTTATTTATTTATTTATTTATTGATTGATTTATTTATTTTAACGAAAGGAATCGTGTTATTACATAAAGAATTAACAATGATCGTGTCAGAGCATCGGATATGATAAATTTTTAATGAAATAATAAATTCCTATACTACATGGATGCATTCTCAATCACAAAATATTGTTTTTATAATAGAAAAGTTATTTAAATTCAGACATACATATATATACATACATATATATACATAAATACGTACATGTGCATATGCACGTTTGATTATAGGTGTTTATTATTATTATAGATGTTTTTTCTCGGTAAAAAAAAAACATTATTAACATAAACGTCGTATCAAGAAAAGAAATAATTTTGTTCTAACTAATAAAATAATTTATGCACGCGCTTACGTAATTATTTATGAGGTATAACAATTAAATAACCTCGTACATATATATATATATATATATATATATATATATATTATATATATATAATATGTAATTATGTTCTCTTTAGTATGAAAGGATACTCTAACAGTTTGATCATCAAATCAAATGATATTATCGTCTAATTAGAATTAGCCAAGTGAAACGACATATATATAATTATTTGAAGAAGGATGAATATATGTATGTATATATGTATATGTATATATGTATGTATGTATATATATATATATATATATATATATATATATATGACTATAACTAAGTACATAGAACGTGAAACGTCTTCAACATCTTTTGAAAGCGTATTACGCAGGAAACGATTGCGCAGATTCGTCGAGAGAAGGACATTAGGGTGATTAACCTGTATAATACCTGTCAGAGGACAGTGATCATCGTAATTTTCAAAAAATGTTCAAAGATTAGTGGAAGAAGAAAAGGATGAAGAAAAAGAAAGATAATAGCAACGTTACGATAACATTTTTAACAAATTACAAAATTGTTTATATAATACTTTTTTATACGTTTATTTATATAAAAACAATTTAAAGAATAATATGTTTTATTTCGACGGATTCAATTCGAACGTATCTCGTAGGCGCGAGTTAACGCTTTCGCTGTGGTCTTTACCCCTTTCACGATCGAAGAAAGTTGTAATCTTGGCTCGATGATCTCGCTGCTATCGATTTGTCAGGAAAGAAAATTATAGCCTTGCAAATTCCACCGACGCGTACTTTTACAATATAGTAGAAATAATATACAATAATAATCACGAGAAACATGATGGTTACGTTCTACGAGTATATCCGTCGTTATAAAAAAAGAGAAAAAAAAAGAAAAGAAAGAAATAACAAAAAAACAATAATAATAATAATAATAATAATAATAATAATAATAATAATAATAATAATACAATAGTAATAATAATAATTGGAAAACTTTCTATAAAATCTGATGGACAAATAGATTTTATTTTTATTTTATTTTGTTTTTTATTTTTTTTTATTTTTTTTTTTATTTTTTTTTTTTTTTTCACTTTTTTATTCTTTTTATTATTAAAAATATATCTAAAATTAGGCTAATAATATAGTTAATTCAATTAATGATCATCGTAAATTTTTTATATAATTATACGATTACAAGATATCAGGGAGCTATTAATTGATTAAGATCGATTCCAAATTATATCTCATAATTAAATCTACGTATATATATATATATATATATATATATATATATATATATATTTTTTTTTTTTTTCTTAATTAATGAATGAACATAATGATTGATAATAATATTCATAATTTGATCATTATTTACGATTAATATAATAATAATGAAATAATGTAAATGACAAAATATAAATTTGTTAATCGTGACAATTGATCGTAAATGATTGTAGAAATAAAAGGGGAGAAAAGAAAAAGAAAAAAAAAAAAAGAAAAAAAGAAAAAAAGAAAAAAAAGAGAAAGAAGGAATAACTAACAACAAAAGTCCCGATTTAAATAATTTCATTATTTAAAAATCGGATGTTGAGAGTCGAGAGAAGGGTGAAAGGAGAGAGGGAAAGATTATGTATTTCAATTTTGTACCAAGTTGGTTACGGCCCTGACAAAGTTAAAAGAAGCCATTCTACCGTGATAAATTCACTATTGCGCTGAGTGGGGCGCTATATACCCGGAGAAAGTACACTTAGTTTATATATACCCGTGCACAGAGGCCATCGTACGCATTTTCAATATCGCTCTTGCTAATTACGATAGTCGTACACAC